GGAAGAGGCCTCAGGAAACTTGGATAACGACCTTAACCTGAAAAATAAAGGAAAACAAGCAAATAAAAGAGAAAATAACAAAATAAACCAATAAATGCATAAAGAAAGAAATCTAACTAAGAAAATGCAAACCAAAAGAAATAAAGAGTAAAATCAAGGAAAAACTAAGTAAAAGAGCTATAGAATAACATGAAATTCACCCTAAAAAGAACCAAATGAGTGCCATAAATTACACTCATCAATATGAATCAACATCCCATCAAACATGACAGAATACCCTCCCCCAAGCTTGAATGAGACAATACACTCAAAATAGATCATAGAAACCATGGAAGGGGAAAACAAGGAGATCAATCCAACAAACCAACATATATCCAACAAGTCATCATCCACTTGAGAAAGAGCAAGGAAGGATATTACCAGATATTAGGTGGGTGTAAATACCCGCAAATGACCTAATTAAACCTTTCAAAGCTAGTTTCCTCAAGAATTGAACCTTTCCTTCCATATGCTAGCAAAAACAGGAGTCAAAGTTCCTTGATTCTTGATCCAAATCGAAGCACCAAAGTATATCAATTCATGTACCCAACAAAAGGCACACAAACATTTCCATGAGAGAAAATCTATTCTAAAAAGAAAATAAAATGAAAGCAATAAAGCACGGGTTACTTCCCGAGAAAGACTTGTTTAAGGTCCAAACTTGACCGCTCTAGAAAATAATAATTCAACGCACACAAGAGCTTGTCAAATACACTACTACACATTTCATATGATAAACGGTAGGCAAATGACCGGATAAGAACGTGCAACAATATTGTTGCACGCAAGTGAGAAGGGAGATGCCAAAAGAAAGAAGAAAAGGGATCAAAAGGAAAAAGAAGAAAATAAGAAGAAAGAGGGGGAATAAAAGAATGGAAAGAAAAAGAAAAAGGCAAATCCTCCTCACTAAAATATTTTTGGGTGGCAACATCACCCTTTTCCTCAACAATAGACGAATGAAGGAAATTAAGATCATCATAGACAATTAGGTCCCCAATAGGCTCATCAACAAAGGAAGGGAGGGATATAGGAGTGTAGGGGATGTGGTTAAAATTTCTTGAAAAAGGGACATGAGAGGAGGGAATAGGGGTTATGGTCTCACAAATGAACTCTTCCTCACCACCATGCCTCAAATCACCAATAAGAGCATGGAAATCAATTATAGAATCCTCAAAAGAAGAACACTCATGGCCATCATCTCCCTCAAACATCCAACTTCCAAGAGGAACTACATAATCCCTATCACTACAATCGTGAACAACAACTCCCTCAACTTCCTTAAAGCCTAAAGTCTCAAACCTATGCATGAATGGATGCAAATTCATTTCACACTCATCTCTCTCCCATGAAGTATTCTTAATGAACCCACTCAAAAGGCTTTGTGTTTTCATTTGACACTCAAAGAACACATTGGTCATAACCTCCTCAATCAAGTCCAAATACTCATGGATAGAAGAATCACAATCATGCATAAGAGACTCATCATGATGGGAAGTAGGTTTGAGGTTATTAAAATCAACACTCTCTTCATTCTCAACTCCTTCACCATCACTTAAATGCTCACCAATGGGATCCTCACACTCTCTTGGTTGCTCAAAATAATCATCATCATCCTAAACACACATTAAATTGAGATTTTTCACATACAAGCATCAAGGATGACAATTGGCTTTCTAACTCTTCTTTTATTCTCCTTCCCTCCTCAAGACGCTCCTCATTCTTTTTCATTAAATCTAATTGACCTCTCATAGATTAAAGAATCATATCCTTACTAGGCCCAAGGTCATTATCAAGCTCAGTGCACCTAATTTGCGACTCAAATATATCAACAAGAGATTCAAAAGATGTAGAAGGTTGACGCTCAACAAGAGAAGAAGAAGTACAACTAAGATTGGAAGAATCAACATTAAGATCATGAGAATATACATCACATTGGGGAGTGGGAGCACAATCAAACACATGAAATTCATCATTAAGGAAACAAAACACATCACAAGAAGGCATGGTAAATAATGAAGAATATTGAAACACACCATTTAGTTTGTTTTACCTTTTACTCTCTTGTTTTGTGGTTTTATGCATATTAATGGTTTTTCTAGTCTTTTCTCCTTTATTAGCTCTATTTTCGTGGTTATAGGTATTGTACGAGGTCCAGGTCTTGATATTGGTGATTTACTAAGGTGGAAGATGCTTTAGGAGCAAGCTCATGGCAATTAGAAAGCTCAAGATGCAAAGAAGTGGATTCTCCAAGTTCTAGCTCTTGCGCTCTCAAGCCGTGCTCTCATGAAGATGGGCGGTTGAACCCACTATCAAGTTCTTTTTGGGACTACCACTCTTAGTGTTCATCATTTTCATGTTGCGCGTTCATTCGAAGACTAAGCGAACGCACGAAGTCGGAAGAAAGATCGAAGAAATACAGTTCAGCGCGAGCACGCAGCCCATTTGCGCAGGCGCAAAGGTCAGCGCGCGGGCGAGCCACCTGTGGGCGCGGGCGCGCCTCCTTGCCCGCGCAGCCATGCCTCCCTGGTATCCGTCTTGCTCGGTTTTTGTTTGCGCCACCTCTATATATCTTTGTAACCCGATTTTTGGTACAAGTTAAAGAGCAAGTTTCGTTTTATATTTTTTATCATAATTTTAGCTTAGTAGAGAGCTTATCTCTCTAGTTTTAGGGTTAGTTTAGGAGTAGATTTTAGAGAGAGAAAGTGAGGAATTTCAATGGTGATTGAGAAATTGAAGATTCAATGGTGACAATAGTGTTGAAGATCTTCTCTATTATCAATGAGCATTCTTAATCTCTCTCCTCTTTATTACGTTGTTCAATTTCATGTTTGTTTGAATTGATTTTGGTGTTTGATGCTTGATTAGTGTAGTTATTCTTGATATATTGTGAATTCTTGATGTCATTAGTTGTTAGTTGATATATGATGATTCTTGAATAGTTGTTTGGCTTGGAATTGGATGAAACTTGTATGATTAATTGATTGTGATTAATTTGGAAATTGTGTTGATTAATTGTTGAGATTAAAGTGATTAATAAAGGTTTGCATGTGTGTAATTCGATTAGGCCTTGAGAATTATGCTAGATTGCATTGTAATTGCTAATGACATGAACAATTGATTTGAGAATTGCAATTATTAATTAGTTTGGATTGTGATTCTTTTAGTTTGTTATTCATAGTGAACCCTAGCTTAACAATTAGGAGATAGCTCTTTGAATCCAATTGATTTCTCTTATCATTAGTCTTCACAACCTTTTATTGGCATGATCTTCCCAAGTTGTTGCAATTGACATGATTACTTGTTGATCCCTGTTCCTAGTGTTTTATTTCCTTGGTTACTTGTTTTGTTAGTTGTTAGTATTCTCTCTTTATCTTTGGCTTTGACCTAGCTTAGGTACCAAAATTGAAAGCATTTGAACATTACCGTTCCTCTTGGTTCATCCCTTAACTTGCCTCTATACTCATATTTAGGTTTGTTAAGTGTTTATAAATTTAGTTTGACTGAGGGAAGATTAGATAACGATCTAGTTTTCCCCTCGTCAAAATGGTGTCGTTGCCGGGGAACGGTGTCTATATTTGAGTGTTTTTTATTGCTTTAGTCTAGGTCTTTTTATATACTTTTCTTTATTTGATTTTTTTTTTGTTTTGTAAAAAAAATGGCATGTCTATCATTTCCTCAATTTGACAATGAGCCTTTTGTGAATATTTCAATAGACTTGAGGGATTTTTAAACTATAATTGTTGTAATCTTTGGGAGGCTTGTGAGATTTGTTATTTATGTTTGAATGAGCAAACTAGGGATGAAGTTGAATGCATTCATAATGGTGAATTTAGAGCATTGTCAATTGATGATGCTTGGGATTTTTATGTTTGGTTTGCTAGGGATGTTTATAATAGGGGTAATTATGATTCTAATATTGATGCGCAATGTCTTGATTCTTCTAATGTTAGCATGATTTCCCATGATTTGTCACATGATCCCTTAAGTGAACCTAGAACACATGATTTCAACTCTATTTCCCCTTTTGTTCATAATGATGAAGTACATGCTCAAGTTGATGCTAATGGTGGGTTTCAATATTCTTCATTATTTACCATGTCTTCTTGTGATGTGCTTCGTTCCCTAAATGATGAATCTCATGTGTTTGATTGTGCCCCAACTCCCCAATGTGATGTATATGCTCATGATCTTAATGTTGATTCTTTCAATCTTGGTTGTACTCTTCTTCTTCTCTTGTTGAGCCTAAACCTTCTACACCTTTTGAATCTGTTGTTGATATATTTGATTCTCAGATTAGGCGCATTGAGTTTGATAACGACCTTAGGCCCAGTAAGGAGATGATTCTTCAATCTATGAGAAGTCAATTAGAGATAATGAAAAAGAATGAGGAGCGTCTTGAGGAGGGAAGGAGAAAAAAAGAAGAGTTAGAAAGCTAATTGTCATCCTTGATGCTTGTTTGTGAAAAATCCCAAGTAAATGTGTGTGTTGTGGATGATGATGATGATTTTGAGCAACCAAGAGAATGTGAGGATACCATTGATGAGCATTTGTGTGATGGTGAAGAAGTTGAGAATGAAGAGTGTGTTGAATTTGAAAACCCCAACCCTCCCTCCCATCTTGATAAGTCTCTTGTGCATGATTGTGATTCTTCTATCCATGAGTATTTGGACTTGTTTAAGGTTACGGCCAATAGGTTCTTTAAGAGTCAAAAGAAAACCAATAGCCTTTTGAGTAAGTTCATTGAGAATTCTTCATGGGAGAGAGATTATTTTGAAATAAATTTGCATCCATTCATGCATGGATTCACTAGTAGAAAAAATGAATTTGGCACCGGTTCAAACCCGGCCTAAGGCACCGGTTTGAACCGGTGCCAATGTGAGGGGTGCCAAAAATGGGTTTAAAAAAATGTGGAATTGTTTTCGGCACCGGTTAACTGGTGCCAAAAGTGCCAAATATTATAATTTTTTTTTTTTAGAACATCAAACAATTAAAAATCGAATCAAATTATTTAGAACATCAAAATATAGATCGAATTTCAATCAACATAATCAAAAATTGACAATATATAATCAAAACAATTTTACAATATACATCAATACAGTAGTAGTTCAATTACAACATATAAAAAAAATTACAATATAAATAAAAAAAATAAACTCAATATTCTTGCATCTTGAATTTATGATTCTTCCCTGTAAGATCTAACTCAAGATACCTGCACGAATTAAAGCAAAAAAAAACGATTAATATAATTAAGCTTCCAAAAAAATTAAACCTAGAAAAAATTAAAGAATTTCGGATTTAAATCGAATTAAATAAAAAATAATCAGTTGATAAGAAAAAAAAAACCAAGAACATCATTTAAAAACCAAAATTGAACCCAGAAATTAAAAACCAAAATCAAAAATTTGGAAAAAAAAACTCAAAAATAAAAAAATTGCGAATTTAAATCGAAAAATAAAAAAGAAAATCCCAAAACAAACCCAGAACAACAAACCCAGAACAAATCTTGCATCTTTAACGGATCTAAATCAAGTAAAAAAATCAACAAACCCAGAACAAACCCAAAAACGCATGCATTAACCCAAAATTGATTATTGTAATCGAAATATAACCCAGAAATCGAAAAACAAAATCAAAATCGAAAAAATAACAATCGAAATCGAAAAAAATCAAAAGGAAAGCCAGAAAAAATAACAATCGAAATCGAAAAAAATCAAAAACCCAGAAAAAAAATTTAAATCGTAAAAAAAAACCGAGAAATCGCTGAAAAAAAAAATCAAAATCAATTGAAAGAAGAGTTTGAAATTAAAAAAATCAAAATCGAAAAAAAAACTATTAAATTCGAATGAAAAACCTCAAAATCGATTGAAAAACCTCAAAATCCGTGTTGCATGTTGTTGTCTTCGAATTTGTTGGTAGTTTTCAAGTGATAATAGCAAGGAGGAGGAGATCTAGAAAGATAAATGAAGGATTGAAGGAAAACGACAACGCGAAAGAGGAGGAGAGGAGAGAGAAAGAGGAGGAGGAGGAGGAGGAGGAGGAGGAGAGGAGAGGAGAGAGAACACGGGCGAAATACTTAGGGTTGGGGGAGTTATAAGGGCGGTTTTTTTTTAATATGTAAAGGAACCGGTTCGATTTGGCACCGGTTCAAACCGGTGTCCTTTTAATTTTTGGCACCGGTTTAGGCTGAACAGGTGCCTTTTCTATTTGTGTAAAATTGCGCCCAATTTTGGGCCGGTTTAGGCCACCGGTTTGGCCTGAACCGGTGCCTTTATGGGGGTGCCTTATTGTATTTTTCTACTAGTGATTTGAGACTTTGGGCTTTAAGGAAGTTGAGGGAGTTGTTGTTCATAGTTGGGAAGGAGGAGATTATGTGGTTCCTCTTGGGAGTTGGATGCTTGACGGAGATGGTGATCATGAGTGTTCTTCTTTTGAGGATTCTATGATTGATTTTCATGCTCTTATTGGTGATTTGAGGCATGGTGGTGAGGAAGAGTTCATTTGTGAGACCATATCCCATATTCCCTCCTCTCATGTCCCTTTTTCAAGCAATTTCAACCACATCCCCTACACTCCTATATACCTCCCTTCCTTTGTTAATGAGCCTATTGGGGACCCCCTTATCTATGATGATCTTGCTGTCCCTCATTCGTCAATTGTTGAGGAAAAGGGTGATGTCGCCACCCAAAAATATTTTAGTGAGGAGGATTTGCCTTTTTCTTTTTATTTCCATTCTTTTATTCCCCCTCCTTCTTCTTATTTTCTTCTTTTTCCTTTTGATCCTTTTTCTTCTTTCTTTTGGCATCTCCTTCTCACTTACGTGCAACAATCTTGTTGCACGTTCTTATCCCGTCATTTGCCTACCATTTATCTTATGAAATGTGTAGTAGTGCATTTGACAAGCTCTTGCATGCGTTGAATTATTATTTACTATAGCGGTCAAGCTTGGACCTTAAACAAGCCTTTCTCGCGAAGTAACCCGTGTTTTATTGCTTTCATTTTATTTTCTTTTTAGAATAGATTTTCTCTCATGAAAATGTTTGTGTACTTTTTGCTAGGTACACCACTTGATATACTTTGGTGCTTCAATTTGGATCAAGAATCAAGGAAGTTTGACTCTTATTTTTGCTATCATATGGAAGGCAAGGTTCACTTCTTGAGGAAATTAGCTTTAAAAGGTTTAATTGGGTTATTTGCGGGTATTTACACCCACCTAATATCCGATAATATCCTTCCTTTCTCTTTCTCAAGTGGATGATGACTTGTTAGATATATGTTGGTTTATTGGATTGATCTCCTTGTTTTCTCCTCCCATGGATTATTTGATATATGTTTGAGTGTATTGTCTCATTCAAGCTTGGGGGAGGGTGTTCCATGTTTGGTGGGATGTTGATTTATATATGCCATGCACATTTGTATATGCATTTTCATGTTCTATATTTTGAAAAACTCCAAAAAGATTTTTGTTTCTATCAATGCATATTTGCAGTGTATCTTTGTTTTGTTCTTGCTTTGGACATAATACTTTTGGACTTGTATGGTTGAATGCTTTTCTTCTTAAATGGTAACGGTGTGCACGGTTTGAGAGTATGTTTGGTTAATTCTAGGATAGAGTATGCTAAGGTAGTCATTTAGAACTATTGGGACCTTGAAGCCGAATTCTATTTGTTTTTGAAAATTTGCAATTGCTCCCTTTTGGTGAATTTGAAGCTAATAGTGAGTTTTTGCTATAACCATGTGAGTTTTCATATTTTCAATCCTTCTACATATCTTGCATGAGCGGCATGGATCCTTGACTATTGTGGACCCAATCTTAAATCTTGACTCATAATTCTCAAACACGAGACCGAACCATATAGGGAGGACAAAGGCATCTTTTCGGGGTGGTAATTTTTCTTTTTTTTAGGATACTCTTCTTAATTTTTAGTTCATTGGGTTTACATTTTCCTTCTTGCTAACCATTTGAGTTTTTTCCCTTCTTTTCAAGCCACATCTTTAGAACTTTGAGCCTTTTGTTTCTTTTTGTTCCATTTTTGGTTTTTGTGAAGCAAATGATCATGTTCTTGGAGTTTGTGGTATGTGAGGTTGGATATTGGTTCTATTTGTAAGCAAGCTTATGTTTTATATATCTTGTGAATAATGGCAAGTGAATAAATGAAAAAGTCGTCCAAAGTTAAAAAAAGGCAAGGACATAATAAGTGCAAAATTGTAAGAGTCGTCCGTAGTTAAAAAACAAGGCAAGGACAATTGCTTTGAAAATATGAAAATGAGAAAAAAGTGAAAATGAGAAAATTCAAAAATATTTTGTTGTGAATTATTCTCCCTTTCTAAGCATTGAGGACAATGCTTCATTTAAGCTTGGGGGAGAAGCGTTTACGCTTTTTGTATATATGTTTGTGAGTATAGCTATGAATAAACTTGGGGGTGTTAGTTTGTTTTTGTTTGGTGACTACTTGATTGTGATTCTAAGAAAGGGCCTGTTCTATGCTTCACTATTAGGGATACCACCAAATTTTTAAATTTTAGCCTACCCTCACCCTTTTTCCCCTTACGTTACAACCATTGGGAAAGACCTTTCGGCCTAAAGGTTGAGTCACATATCGGGGGAGGGCATTATGAATTAAAGCCTAAGGAGAGGGGATGAAAGTTAAGATGTCGAGAAAACTCAAATCTATTTGTTTTTCCGGTTCCTTCGAGGAACTATAAAGACGCTCACTAAAATTAGATTTGAAGCTAATTGGGAGAATGTGCTAAAATTTTTTGAGATGAAAGTGAATTGCGTTTCTTTAGTTCTCTATACTTATCATGTTCTATGTTTCAATCAACCTTAGATATCTTAGAACATGCACTCCCTTACTTGTTTAGAAAGATTTGCAATCACTTGTGCTTGTACATTTGGAAAAGTCCTTTCATGAACATTTGTTTGCTTTTTCTTGTACTTTGGTTTCTTTTTCATGCTTTTCCTTGTTTGTATTATTATGAGAGTTATAGGTTAATCTCTTAGGAAACCTTTACGATAGCATCATTCGTCCTCTACGGCGATCTAGGGGTTTAAATGGCTTGTCTTTAGCTGTTAAAATTGACCATGATTCCTACGAAAGTGAGTTAGTGTATATTCTTGTCTCTTCTCTTCTTTTTGTCTGTTTGAATCAGTTCATCAATTCTCCCTTGGTTTTGTTTTGCTCGAGGACGAGAAAAAGGTAGGCTTGGGGGTATTTGATGGGTGTCATAAATGGAACCCATTTGATAAGCATTTAGGTTGTTTTTACCTTATTTTCATATCTTTCCTTCTTAATAAATGCATAGTTTTATGCTTTTGCTCTTTGTGTTACCTTTTACTCTCTTGTTTTGTGGTTTTGTGCATTTTAGTAGTTTTTCTAGTCTTTTCTCCTTTATTTGCTCTATTTACGTGGTTGTGGGTATTGTACGAGGTCCGGGTCTTGATATTGGTGATTTACTAAGGTGGAAGATGATTTTGGAGCAAGCTCATGGCAATTGGAAAGCTCAAGATGCAAAGACGAAGTGGATTCTCCAAGTTCTAGCTCTTGCGCTCTCAACCCGTGCTCTCATGAAGATGGGGTGTTGAACCCACTATCAAGTGCTTTTTGGGACTGCCACTCTTAGTGTTCATCATCGTCATGTTGCGTGTTCATTCGAAGACCTTAGCGAATGCACGAAGTCGCAAGAAAGATCGAAGAAACCCAGTTCAACACGGGCGCGCCTCCTTGCCCGCGCGGCCACGCCTCCCTGGGTATCCGTCTTGCTCGGTTTTTGTTCGCGCCTCCTATATATATCTTTGTAACCCGATTTTTGGTACAAGTTAAATAGAAAGTTTCATTTTAGATTTTTAATCATAATTTTAGCTTAGTAGAGAGCTTCTCTCTCTAGTTTTAGGGTTAGTTTAGGAGTAGATTTTAGAGAGAGAAAGTGAGGAATTTCAATGGTGATTGAGAGATTAAAGATTCAATGGTGACAATTGTATTGAAGATCTTCTCTATTATCAATGAGCATTCTTAACTCTCTCTCCTCTTTATTGCTTTGTTCAATTTCATATTTGATTGAATTGATTTTGATGTTTGATGCTTGATTAGTGTAGTTGTTCTTGATATATTGTGAATTCTTGATTTCATTAGTTATTAGTTGATAGATGATGATTCTAGAATAGTTGTTTGGCTAGGAATTGGGTGAAACTTGTATGATTGATTGATTGTGATTAATTTGGGAATTGTATTGATTGATTGTTAATATTAAAGTGATTAATGAAGGTTTGTGATGAGTGACATTTATGTCACTCCTAAGGAGTAGTTTTAGAGTCTTTTCCGTGTTTATTTTTCCCTTATTTTCCTTTTATTCTCTTGTTTTCTCTTTAATAAAGTTTCTAGTTTATTTTGGTAATTTTGGAGTGTTTTGGTTTAGTTTCTTTATTTTATTAGTTTTAGTCTATTTTCGTATTTTATTTTACTTTATTTGCTTGTATAGTTTTTGTTTTATTTTTATTAGTTTAGTTTTATGTCTCTTATTTTCTATTTTATTTTATTTATTTCTATTTTATTTATTTTATTTTATTTGTCGTGGTTTTGTTTTATTTCGTCCTTTGTTTATTTTCATTTTATTTTATTTTATATTTTTCCCGATTCTCCCTTGTGTATATTTTGTTTTGCAGGATCGTGTACGAAGTCCGAGGTTCGAGGCACAAATCTTGAGCCAACCTAAGCTGCTGCCTCCTATCCTTCACCCCATCTCTTTCTTAACCTCCACCACACCAACCTTTCCCCTGATGCCTCCCTTAACCAACACCAACAGCAACACAACCTGACAAAACCACAACAGCCCCTGCTTCACCCCGCAGCAGCACCAACACAAACAAACCACTCCTAGCAGCCATCTAGCAGCGCCACCACACATCACAGCAGCTCCCTCGACCAGCCACACCCATCACAGCTGCCGCAACTAATACACCACCTGACCACCTTCCCTTGACACCACCAGCAGCGCAACAATCAACCCCGCAAGCACCACCTTCACGAGCAGCCCTAACCCCAAAACCAGAGCAGCCCGCAACACCACCAACAGCCACAACAACAACCATACCTCCATCAATCACCCCGCAACGCCACCAGTCCAACCTTCAACCACCAATTTACAACCACCCTCACCTCGCAACAGCCACCAATTAACTCCCCTGCTCCCTCACGCACACAGCAGCCTGCCAAACCCCAACATCGCAAACCACCAGCGCACCTCCATTAGCACCAACAGCAGCAACATTGCGCAACCAACCTCCGCCACCTTCCTCTGTTTCCACTTGCAACAACAACAACAACCAACAGCAGCAATTTGCGCCACATCAAACCACCAATTCACACAAGCATCAGCTAAAAATAGAGCAAAATTAGAGTAAATCACAAATTGATCGGGTTCGGGCAAACCGTTGGTGGTTCGGTCGAAGTTCGAGTCAGAGACTTTGGGG